CTAGTCACAGAGGATATCACACAATCCGATATAACGTATCTAGTCACAGAGGATATCACACAATCCGATATAACGTATCTAGTCACAGAGGATATCACACAATCCGATATAACGTATCTAGTCACAGAGGATATCACACAATCCGATATAACGTATCTAGTCACAGAGGATATCACACAATCCGATATAACGTATCTAGTCACAGAGGATATCACACAATCCGATATAACGTATCTAGTCACAGAGGATATCACACAATCCGATATAACGTATCTAGTCACAGAGGATATCACACAATCCGATATAACGTATCTAGTCACAGAGGATATCACACAATCCGATATAACGTATCTAGTCACAGAGGATATCACACAATCCGATATAACGTATCTAGTCACAGAGGATATCACACAATCCGATATAACGTATCTAGTCACAGAGGATATCACACAATCCGATATAACGTATCTAGTCACAGAGGATATCACACAATCCGATATAACGTATCTAGTCACAGAGGATATCACACAATCCAATATAACGTATCTAGTCACAGAGGATATCATACAATCCGATATTACGTATCTAGGCACAGAGGATATCACACAATCCAATATAACGTATCTAGTCACAGAAGAGGATACCATACAATCCGATTGAACGGACCTAGTCACAGAGGATATCATATAATGTGATATAACGTATCTAGTCACAGAGTATATCAAACAATCCGATATAACGTATCTAGTCACAGAGGATACCATACAATCCGATTGAACGTACCTAGTCACAGAGGATATCATACAATCCGATATAACGTATCTAGTCACATAGGATATCACACAATGTGATATACCGTATCGAGTCACAGAGGATATCACACAATCCGATAATACTTATCTAGTCACAGAGGATATCAAACAATCCGATATAACGTATCGAGTCACAGAGGATATCACACAATGTGATATAACGTATCTAGTCACAGAGGATATCACACAATCGGATATAACGTATCTAGTCACAGCGGATATCACACAATCCGATATAACGTATCTAGTCACAGAGGATATCCCACACTCCGATATAACGTATCTAGTCACAGAGGATATAACACAATGTGATATAACGTATCTAGTCACAGAGGATATCATACAATGTGATATAACGTATCTAGCCCAGAGGATATCACACAATCCGATATAACGTATCTAGTTACAGAGGATATCACACAATCCGATATAACGTCTCTAGTCACAGAGGATATCATACAATGTGATATAACGTATCTAGTCACAGAGGATATCCCCCAATGTAATATAACGTATCGAGTCACAGAGGATACCCCACAATCCGATATAACGTATCTAGTCACAGAAGATATCACACAATGTGATATAACGTATCTAGTTACAGAGGATATCACACAATCCGATATAACGTCTCTAGTCACAGAGGATATCATACAATGTGATATAACGTATCTAGCCCAGAGGATATCACACAATCCGATATAACGTATCTAGTCACATAGGATATCACACAATGTGATATAACGTATCTAGTCACAGAGGATATCACACAATCCGATATTACTTATCTAGTCACAGAGTATATCATACAATCCGATTTAACGTATCTAGTCACAGAGGATACCATACAATCCGATTTAACGTATCTAGTCACAGAGGATATCATACAATGTGATATAACGTATCTAGTCACAGAGGATATCACACAATCCGATATAACGTATCTAGTCACAGAGGATATCACACAATCCGATATAACGTATCTAGTCACAGAGGATATCACACAATCCGATATAACGTATCTAGTCACAGAGGATATCACACAATCCGATATAACGTATCTAGTCACAGAGGATATCACACAATCCGATATAACGTATCTAGTCACAGAGGATATCACACAATCCGATATAACGTATCTAGTCACAGAGGATATCACACAATCCGATATAACGTATCTAGTCACAGAGGATATCATACAATCCGATATAACGTATCTAGTCACAGAGGATATCACACAATCCGATATAACGTATCTAGTCACAGAGGATATCACACAATCCGATATAACGTATCTAGTCACAGAGGATATCATACAATCCGATATAACGTATCTAGTCACAGAGGATATCACACAATCCGATATAACGTATCTAGTCACAGAGGATATCACACAATCCGATATAACGTATCTAGTCACAGAGGATATCATACAATCCGATATAACGTATCTAGTCACAGAGGATATCACACAATCCGATATAACGTATCTAGTCACAGAGGATATCACACAATCCGATATAACGTATCTAGTCACAGAGGATATCACACAATCCGATATAACGTATCTAGTCACAGAGGATATCACACAATCCGATATAACGTATCTAGTCACAGAGGATATCACACAATCCGATATAACGTATCTAGTCACAGAGGATATCACACAATCCGATATAACGTATCTAGTCACAGAGGATATCACACAATCCGATATAACGTATCTAGTCACAGAGGATATCACACAATCCGATATAACGTATCTAGTCACAGAGGATATCACACAATCCGATATAACGTATCTAGTCACAGAGGATATCACACAATCCGATATAACGTATCTAGTCACAGAGGATATCACACAATCCGATATAACGTATCTAGTCACAGAGGATATCACACAATCCGATATAACGTATCTAGTCACAGAGGATATCACACAATCCGATATAACGTATCTAGTCACAGAGGATATCACACAATCCGATATAACGTATCTAGTCACAGAGGATATCACACAATCCGATATAACGTATCTAGTCACAGAGGATATCACACAATCCGATATAACGTATCTAGTCACAGAGGATATCACACAATCCGATATAACGTATCTAGTCACAGAGGATATCACACAATCCGATATAACGTATCTAGTCACAGAGGATATCACACAATCCGATATAACGTATCTAGTCACAGAGGATATCACACAATCCGATATAACGTATCTAGTCACAGAGGATATCACACAATCCGATATAACGTATCTAGTCACAGAGGATATCACACAATCCGATATAACGTATCTAGTCACAGAGGATATCACACAATCCGATATAACGTATCTAGTCACAGAGGATATCACACAATCCGATATAACGTATCTAGTCACAGAGGATATCACACAATCCGATATAACGTATCTAGTCACAGAGGATATCACACAATCCGATATAACGTATCTAGTCACAGAGGATATCACACAATCCGATATAACGTATCTTGTCACACAGTATTTCACACAATGTGATATAACGTATCTAGTCACAGAGGATATCACACAATGTTCTGGACAGTTACAGAACACGTCTTTGGAAATTCAACTCATGTTTTGATATTTAAAGAGGGATAGCAAAATAGTTTTAGTCATATGGTTAAATAAAACAAGCATATCTCTCATTTGAATATGGATATCTTTCACTGCAATAAAACATATATCAGATAAATTGATATTGGTGGAACGAAATGTAGGTATGATTAAAATGTACCGGATATGTTTCGTATATGAAATGGAGATATGTCTATAAACACAATTTGGGTATGTTTCTAAATTCAATTCAGATATCATTAAATGCAATAAAGAAATTAAATAGATTGAAAATAATTCAAAGTAACAGAGTTTTCTCTATAAGTTTATGATATATCTCCTAAGGTATTTAATAGATGTATCTTTTAGGTATTCATTTTTTTTCCTTTCCATTCTTATCACACCACGTTATATCTGGGTCACTATTTGGGAAAACAGACACAAAGGAAGCACAGTGCCTTATGGTACGTGAAAGTATTGAGTTTTACCATTGAGTAATATGATAACGATACGTAACAAGGAGAAAACTAATTACCGATGATAACGCTTCAGCTAAGCTGTGTCATCCAGAGTACTAATTTCTAATAATTACATTCGCGGTACGGAATACTGTTATATATTCAAATATGTGATCGTAATAGTCATTTGCAGTTTGGACGACACAATTATCATTGATCGGGGCGGCGTTAAAGCTAATTGATAATCAAATTTGGTATGCATATACACATAATAAAGTATACCAACTGCTATGGAATATACGAGAACGTGACTCACCGATGGTATTCTTGTTTATGTGGATTTTTAAATCGAGATGTGTTCGCTTTGTCTCCAGTAGATGACCAACTTGAGGACGATTGATACTTGTGGTTCAAAAACTTCTAGGCTTTCCGGGACACATTTACCGAGAGCATATCTGTGTAACATCTACTGTAGGGTGTGGGTCTTTCTTTTGGTTAAGGTTTAGGTATCTCTTTAGGTTTTGTTGCTATTTTTCTATCTGTCGTCTTTCGGTTTTGGTTTAATACTTATTTGTTGATGCAGTCAACATCATCAACAGTTATACCGCTATACTACTGAACCAGACTCCGTTAATGTAGCGTCACTAAACCACTAATTGGTTTGAACCCAACACAAGTGCCTGTCCTCTTTCCTTCCACTTTGATCTGGCCCCTGAACAGAAACAATGCTAGTCTTGCGTCAGCCACAGGACCAGTAGGGATAGCCCGCGATTTCCAGTGACTGTAACAAAGCCTTCATTATACAGCCGATAGGGGGCTCTGTTATGAGTGTTGGTTCCTGTTCGTTAACCGCACATATACTTCTTTTTAAGGCAGTGAACTCGTCAGTGACTTCATTTCAACATATATAGGCCATCGAGAAATGTTGAGTCAAGTGATCACCAGTGGATAGTATTTATAAAATATATACTACCATACTGACATTTTATTTCCTCGTGGAGACGCACTGTACAGAGTTGTATATACGGTATGTATTGAAAGAGATACACGCATGCTATTATAGTTTATTAAAGATTTTATATAGCATTGACGGCTTTGTTAGATTTTAAAGTTATACGTATTACAAGCACTGCCGAGTTTATAATTAATTGTTTGTGGCTAAGTAAGTATGTTAGTCTCGTTTTGAAACAATAACATATCAGTTATCATACAATTTTAGGTTTGTCATACAGGGTTGTAATTATTGTGTGACGTTTATTATATACATTTATATGGCGTTCACAATACCTTGGTGTACCGGTTTATGCTAACACATATTGTACACATGGGTACGTGTCAGATCACGGGTGTTTATCTAGCAATGTCGAGTGTTGATAGGAGTTAAATTTAGATACAGCCGTGTTTCCGTGTATAAGGTGAGAAATGACTCTATATAACCCTGAATGTGTTAGCCAGACGTTGTACAGACGTAGGTTTCCTAAGTCACTCCTCTGACATTGTAACCTTTTATCTGTGGTTCTACAGGTTCTACTGCACTCGTCAGTACACCTGTTTGTATTGTACAGTATATAATGCGGGTTTTCCCAGTCATTCATTTGTCATAACGTTAGTTCATTAATTGTGCATACTTCAGAAGTTCCCAGTGACTAGTATACCAAAATAGTATCACCTGGAGTCAGGCGGTACGGAGTAGACCCTGGAGATTTCTGTGGTGGTTACGTATGGTATGTTAAATTAATAACAAATGCCTGACTTGATGAGGACAAATTACTATACAGAATACACAGGGCAGCTATACTTAACGTAAACGTTTGTGAGTTGTTTTATATCCTTTGAGTAACGGGCATGTCATTCAGATAATGTTGTGTTCTGCTTGTAATGAGCGGAGGTACATCACGCTATTAATGTGTTATCAAACAGGGACGCACGACTGTATAAGAATCAAGTCGAGTTAAGGCAATATTGTTTATTTGAGTGTCATTGCAATTACCATTACATTGAAAAATGTTTAAAACATGTATAGTAACATGCCATAAAACATAAAATTAGATAGTAGATGCGATAAGGTCTGTATATATGTCAAGAAGACATGGTATTTACTCATTGAAACTCATTGATATTTTAAAGCTTATTTGATTCACTTTACAGGGAAATACCACGTTCCTTCTTTAAGGAATATGAAAGTATATTGATTTGGTTGTCTCTATAGCTGAATTTATATCGATATAGATGGGCCGATTTAACTCGCCGATTTAACAAGTCTTCCTGTTATCGACATGTTTCACTAGTGCACCTTCTGTAAACAAACAAAATCAATCAATGATGTAAACTTAATAGAACACTCAAAATTCTGATACATGATGTGATGGTGTAATCGTTATCAATACATAATCTGCTTTTGACGTCAATATGCATTTTTATTACCATTGTTCGGTAGTAGGTGAACGATGCGTGATTTTCTAGTTAACACGAACAGGTTTTATCGATGATATGTTTCATTTCATCTATAAATACACAATTGTTTGTTTGATCACATTACCATCAATTTGATTAGCAAACCCAAGCATTATGTATCTGTGTAAAAATATCAAGGATTACGACAGATTTCATTTTGAAACACGGTCCAGGCCTTATTTCCGTTAATGCTACAGTAGCCGGACTTTGTACAGTAAAGGAGGAGATTTGTATTAGTCATATCATTCAACGGTTTTAACCTTATATGATAAGTTCGACCACACTCGCTAATCAGTATGAGACACTCGTACTCGTGAGTACTCCTAAATACACATGTTTTCGTGTGTTTATAAAGACTACTTTGTTTTGTGTCAGGAAAACAATTATGAGTCATTTTATTTAATCAATAATGTGGGCGTGTGCACCACAAGATGCGTTTCATGAAGAAGACATCTTCCTCACTTCCTAATCAAGCTCGTTGAACTTCTATCTATGTAAACTCAAATTGTCTATATAATCACATTTTGACAGATGCCTGCATATTATTGCTTCTTATGAAGGTTAAACAGAAGAATTTAATTGCGAATTAGTGTCATGTGTAACAATTAAATACATAACTTATATAAATATGATTATTTTTGGAAGGATGACAAATATTAAAGAACAACTCCTTAAGTTAATCAGTTATATATAATTGTAATCAAAACATAAATAAATGATCGCCATATGACAAGGCACTTTGCAAGTTAACAATTATTGTAACGATAACTGCATTTAATCATAATCTGATATTTGTATCTGCCAACAGGCCCTTTCCATAAACTGCCGTCTTTAGCTGTTTTCAATTACCCCAGGTGGTAGACTCTGCTGGTGAATTTCTCAGTGTCCGATGTTTGCTGTAACCTTTGGCAACAATTATTTCTTCCGAGTAGTGGAATGGTACTTAATATACACACTTATTATTGTTATAAAATTATACAGAACTCGTCTAATGCTTGACATTTATACAATGAAGCGGTTAAATGCTCATGCCCTTCTGTTTCAACAGTAGTTTAAATCAATTTAGAAATCCACCTTTTTGGCTTCTAAAATCGCCTGTGAGTCCTAGAAGGACGAAACAGCTGTATGGCACAGTGTAATTCACTCAATATTGGCATCCTTTATCAATTTTGTAATTTTACGATCTTATTTTATTCTGTTATAGTGACCTGAAGTATTTGTCCACGAACACAAACATATGTCATTAGATACACATACCATACTTGTATCCAGTCTGTACTTACCTTAAGATACACTAGTCACCTACCCAGTATAAATACATGAATCTTGCCTATTCAGAATATACCTACCTGCTCAAGTTGTACGAACATTGCTTAAGTTCATAAAATTTATATCTCATGTTTTCCCATATGAAGCCATTGCTGAAATAAATAATAATAAAAAAGAAACAACAAAACAAAACAACAACAACAAAACAAAAACACAAACAACAAATAAAACAAAATACCCCAAATTAAGAAGTTTTCCTTAAATCTTGCAGTGCTTTCCAATCGGAAAAAAATAAGGAACTGTCACTGTTCTATGATAAACGCTCCGAAGCCTATAGGAGAATCCTACCTACTCAAGTTGTATTAACATCATCTTGAAAGTCATTCACTGTAATGCCTGGATGAACATATTTAGAAGCGCCGCTTTCATAACCCGAATTTAACTCAGTTTCAATGGGCGTATATAAGTATATTTTATGAGCCGTCCTTTGTGATGTAAATTTCGTCTAGAGATATAAGACATTTGACAAGAAAAGTTTTGTTAGCATAGATATTTTCTCCCTTTCCTATAAATAGTATTATCTTCAAAGCGTTAGATTTTTTTTTTGTTATATCTCAAATGTGATTAAAAAGTGCCATCTTCAGAAATATATGATTTTTTTTCTTCTGAATTTCACCCACAATATAAAGAAAGCTGTCATTAATCTAGTGAGAATTTGAAGCAATCCTTTACCCCTGAAAAATGTATTTATAATTAGAAACACCATCGAAAGGATTGTCTGGTTTAGAAAGTTCGGTAAGAAATAGTACGTAAGCCATCTTTAGTTTGCCAGGAATGTTCGCTACTTAGTACTAGAGTACAATGGATGATAGTGTCTTTGTGTGAAGCGTTTTATCTCATCACATATCACGTGTGCTACTCTGCTATGTTAGACTGTGTTATGGACGTAAGGATTTACGATACAACATCTACTTCATATCACTGGGCATTAGCACACTACACTGATGAAAACATATGAAATGTATACATAGAATGGTTCATGTAAATGTCTGCTAAAATATCACAAAAACTCCCGTCTAACGATTGGCAATGTAAACGTTAGTTTTCGTACATATGTATTTATGTAAACTCTTTCAAGATAAGTATATGATATATTTCTGTGATTAAGCAAATTATGTGTGATGAAAAAAAACATGTGTATATAAACATTCATTTGTCCTTTTCCATATGTTGTAGGCCGTAGTGTATCTATCTGACGCCAGCGAAAGGAAAACATTCGTTAACCATCGGAAACCGGACGGGCTGTAACCATGACAACAATTATGATGTGGAGTGTAGGAAGATTATATCGGAAATAATACTTGAATATTTCGTTGGATTTCGTTTTTAAAACATTTTGGAGAAAGATGATGGAGGAGATGGGTGAACGAAACAGCCCCCTCGACAATATGGCAGGTTCGACCAACATCACCGACAGCACAAACAAGTTTGATTTTGCATCCTTCATCATTGAAAGAAACAACGACAATGCATTGCTTCTTCTTCCGGTAATAATCGTCGTTGGAGTTCTGATTCTTCTAGGGTTTGTTGGTAATACGCTTGTCTGCTATGTTTACAACTCGCCGACGATCAAGAAGAGAAGGACCACGAAAAGGGTGTTTATTCTCACTCTAGCCATCTTTGATATATTGAATTGTGTGCTCGTTATGCCGTTCGAGATTTATGACATGAGAAACCAGCACTATTTCCAGTCAACGGAAGTTTGTAAAGTCTTCCGGTTTATCGAGACTTCTCTGGTGTTATCGTCAGGATTCATCCTGCTGTCCGTGTCAGTTGATCGGTACGTGAATCTCGTCAAAGCGTCCAAACGTATCATCACACCTAGTAGAGCGAAGAAGCTTGGATTAGCCTGTGTCATCGTATCCCTATCATTAGCCTGGCCAGTGTTAATATTCGCAGGAACAGACAAATTCACCATTCTAGTGGACGGGAACAGTACGAATCTGACTGGCACAGAATGCACAACTTTTAGAAATGACTATCATGGGTTCATGAGTGACAAAATATATAATATTTTTTTAATCGGCACTTTTGTAAGTGCCTTAATTATTCTTATTGTGATATACATTTTGATTGGACTAAAACTCTACCGTCGCCGCAGGGGATCTACCAATAACGGTGGGCTAATGTTTCTGTCCAGTACCAACGAAGGAAAGAACTTGACAGATGGGAAGCCAATAAAAAGAAACAATGTACGAAAGTCTAGTTTGGGTTACGCCATTAGACGCAGTAAACCGAAAGCTCAGGGATCTACCGTTATGTTTTACTCAGTAACAGTCGTGTTTATTCTGGGATTTTTACCACACTTGACTGTGCGCACGTTGAAAATGCTTAAAATAGCGTTTACAGAAAGTCACTCATTTGACTCGACAGAAATTATATACAATCTATTAGTTAGATCATATATGATCAACAGTGCTGCCAATCCCTTCATATATAGTATCCTCAACGTAAGATTTAGGAAGGATCTCATAGCTTCTTTTAAACGTTGCTTCTGTTTGCACAGGTTACGTTCAAAATGAAAAAATGTGTATTTATTGACTATACTTTCATAATAAAACATATTTATTTAAAAGAAACCGTTACTTTTTGTTTTGTTTTTCAAATTGCACATATAGTCGCAATCGGTGTCAATATAGAAAAAGTAAGCGTTAACGACACGTATACGTGTTTCTTTATCGGCCAATGTCATTGTATTATTCCAATACGTCAGATCTGCAAGGCCATAACTTATTGACCGATAGTCGAGGGTTCTTCAATGACGTCAGCGTTTGCAAATTAATTTTCATTGGTATCACTATGTTCCGAAACATCAGTGTTGGCAGGTTGTCTTTCATTGGTACTCGTGTGCTATTCAACAATGTCAGTGTCAGTGTTGTTAGGTGTGTTTCATTGGTATCATTATGTGCTATTTCACAAAACCAATGTCGGCAGATTGTTTTTCATTGATATGGTGTGCTTTTTCACAAAATCGAGGTTTGCAGGTTGCTTTTCATTAATATCGTGTGCTATTTCACAAAGTCAATGTCGGCAGGTCGTTTTTCAATGATATCGTGTGCTTTTTCACAAAGTAAATGTCGGCAGTTTGTTTTTCATTGGCGTCATTGTGTGCTATTTCACAAAATAAATGTCGGTAGGTTGTTTTTCATTGGTATCGTGTGCTTTTACACAAAATCAATGTCGGCAGATTGTTATTACTTGATATTGTGCGCTTTTTTCACAAAATCAATGTGGCCAGGTTGTCTTTCATTAGAATCGTTTGCTTTTCACGAAATGAATGTCAGCAGATTGTTTTTCCATGATATTGTGTGCTTTTTTACAAAATCAATGTCGGCAGATTGTTATTCCTTGATATTGTGTGCTTTTTCACAAAATCAATGTCGGCAGATTGTTTTTTCCTTGATATCGTGTGCTTTTCCACAAAATCAATGTCGGCAGGTTGTCTTTCATTGGTATCGCGTGCTTTTTCACAAAATCAATGTCGGAAGATTGGTATTACTTGATATTGTGTGCTTTTTCACAAAATCAATGTCGGCAGGTTGTCTTGCATTGGTATCGTGTGCTTTTTTACAAAATCAATGTCGGCAGATTGTTATTCCTTGATATTGTGTGCTTTTTCACAAAATCAATGTTGGCAGGTTGTCTTTCATTGGTATCGTTTGCTTTTCACAAAATCACGGTCAGCAGACTGTTTTTCCTTTATATATTGTGCTATTTCACAAAATCAATGTCGCCAGATTGTTATTCCTTGATATCGTGTGCTTTTTCACAAAATCAATGTCGCCAGGTTGTCTTTCATTTGTATCATCGTGTGCTTTTTCACAAAATCAATGTCGGCATGTTGTTTTTCATTGGTATCGTGTGCTTTTTCACAAAATCAATGTTGGAACGTTGTTTTTCATTGGTATCGTGTGCTTTTTAATAAAATCAATGTCGGCATGTTGTTTTTCATTTTTTTGGTGTGCTTTTTCACAAAATCAATGTCGGCAGGTTGGCTTTCATTGGTATCGTGTGCTTTTTCACAAAATCAATGTCGGCAGATTGTTATTACTTAATATTGTGTGTTTTTTCACAAAATCAATGTGGCCAGGTTGTCTTTCATTGGTATCGTGTGCTTTTTCACAAAATCAATGTCGGCAGATTGTTATTCCTTGATATTGTGTGCTTTTTCACAAAATCAATGTTGGCAAGTTGATTTTCATTGGTATCGTGTGCTTTTTCACAAAATCAATGTCGGCAGGTTGTTTTTCATTGATATCGTGTTCTTTTTCACAAAATCAATGTCACCAGGTAGTCTTACATTAGAATCGTTTGCTTTTCACAAAATCAATGTCAGCAGATTGTTTTTCCTTGATACTGTGTGCTTTTTCACAAAATCGAATTCGCCAGATTGTTATTCCTTGATATTGTGTGCTTTTTCACAATATCAATGTCGGCAAGTTGTGTTTCATTGGTATCGTGTGCTTTTTCACAATATCAAATTCGCCAGATTGTTATTCCTTGATATTGTGTTCTTTTTCACAAAATCAATGTCAGCAGATTGTTTTTCCTTGATACTGTGTGCTTTTTCACAAAATCAAATTCGCCAGATTTTTATTCCTTGATATTGTGTTCTTTTTCACAAAATCAATGTCGGCATGTTGTTTTTCATTGGTATCGTGTGCTTTTTCACAATATCAAATTCGCCAGATTGTTATTCCTTGACATTGTGTGCTTTTTCACAAAATCGAGTTCGCCAGATTGTTATTCCTTGATATTGTGTTCTTTTTCACAAAATCAATGTCGCCATGTTGTTTCTCATTGGTATCGTGTGCTTTTTCATAAAATCAATGCCGGCAGGTTGTTTTTCATTAATATCGTGTGCTTTTTCACAAAATAAAATTCGCCAGATTGTTATTCCTTGATATTGTGTGCTTTTTCACAAAATCAAATTCACCAGATTGTTATTCCTTGACATTGTGTGCTTTTTCACAAAATAAAATTCGCCAGATTGTTATTCCTTGACATTGTGTGCTTTTTCACAATATCAATGTCGGCAAGTTGTGTTTCATTGGTATCGTGTGCTTTTTCACAATATCAAATTCGCCAGATTGTTATTCCTTGACATTGTGTGCTTTTTCACAAACTCAATGTCGGCAAGTTGTCTTTTATTGGTATCGTGTGCTTTTTCACAAAATCAAATTCACCAGATTGTTATTCCTTGATATTGTGTTCTTTTTCACAAAATCAATGTCACCAGGTAGTCTTACATTAGAATCGTTTGCTTTTCACAAAATCACTGCCGGCAAGTTGTCTTTCATTGGTATCGTGTGCTTTTTCACAAAATCAATGTCGCCATGTTGTCTTTCATTAGAATCGTTTGCTTTTCACAAAATCAATGCCGGCAAGTTGTCTTTCATTTGTATCATCGTGTGCTTTTTCACAAAATCAATGTCGGCAGGTAGTTTTTCATTGGCATCGTCATGTGCTTTTTCACAAAATCAATGTTGACAGGTTGTCTTTCATTTGTATAATTGTGTGCTTTCTCACGAAATCCATGTTTGCAGATTGTCTTTCATTGGAATCATAGGGCACTATTTCACAAAGTAAATGTTGTCATGTTGTCTTTTATTAGCATCATGAGGTGTTATTTCAAAAAATCAATGTGTGCTTTCTCACGAAATCCATGTCGTCAGGTTTTCTTTTATTGGAATCATTTTGTGCTATTTCACAAAGTCGATGTTGGCAGGTTTACTTTCATAGGTATCTGTATGCTACTCCACAACATTAGTGTCGACAGGTTGTCTTCATTTTCGTCCGTTCGTTACTGTACAATAATCGGTATAAGCATGTTGTTTGTTTTGGTATCCGTGCGTTATTGCACACTTATCTGTGTTACGAGGATGTCTTTGATTGATATTCACAACGATACTATAGTGTTCGCATATTCTATACTTCTACAACTGACATGGAGACCATGGAAAAAAGTACATGGACAGTAAATCCACGTGTGTCGGAAAGATAAGCGTTCTGCTTGATTGAGATCACCCGCCATGAAAATCTGCGTCAAATACAAGTACTGTCACGTCCTCATAGCGAAAACCGCGGTAGTTTCAAAGACAAAACAATGCATATTTATGAATTTGATAAAAACGTCAAAAAATCATAAAGCACAGAGACGTAAAAAGATATCCAAATTAGATTATAATGTGGTTAGATATTTAGGAATAATTTAGAATTTATTTGCTATCCATATACATTTATATGATGATTGATAACTTTGTTCTTGCTTCTTTAGCATTCCAATCTGTGCTATTTGTGTCGAAGTACTGTGAGGATGAAATTTGTTGCTCTGCCTTTTCTTCAATGTATCCCAAAGACCTTTAAACATTTCTTCTAAGTTGCAAGGGATGTGAGGATCAACCAAGATTGAGTTCAAAGATGTCAGACATTGATTTGGCAATTTATCTCAGTCTGACTCTCCTTTGTTTCATGATGATACAGCAAATTACAATAGACTCACTCTGTCGACTGACTGACCAACTGACATTTCTTAACCCCATGCTGCTGAAATTCTATCTAAAATAGTTTCTAGAAATACCGTGTAAAAAAGCATATCATTATTTAAATATTTAGTAAGTCTTAAGTGTCTATCTCATCTAGGTATGATGCAGTTTATATCATATCTGGCTTATTGTATCTATCATTAAATTTCAAATGTGTAAAGACCTGTGTGTGTGTGCGTGTGTGTGTGTGTTTGTGTGTGTGCGTGTGTGTGTGTGTGTGTGTGTGTGTGTGTGTGTGTGTGTGTGCGTGTGTGTGTGTGTGGATTCATCTTGCAAGATACAAGGTGGTGGACCCTGCTGGTGGATTGTTAACTCCCAGAGGTTTGCCGTAACCTTGGTGACCAGAGTTATCACGGTTTGGGTAGTGGCATGGTTCATGATAATCATCTCTCTCCTTAAATATAAACTACTTTTTGATCTAGTGAAAGACGTTTTCATTAAAAACAATCATCTATTACTAAAAATGTTATTGAATCGCCATAATAAATGGAAGCAACTTGTGTTTTCTGTGCATGTTTCAGATGTTCAATACAACGAAAAGAATATGTAAGAAATTGTAAAACTGCACATCATTGTTTTTCTGTTTTTAATATAGTTCCAATAAAGACCAAATAAATAAAATATGAAAACAGGAAAAAATCATCGTTTTCCCGTCTTTATAGTGATAATTTTGTTTTTTAGAATAGTTATTTATATATATATATATAATCGGCGGGGCGATAAGTCTTATGTACATAGTAAAACGACCTAGTACCCTTGATCAGTATGGACTTACATCCATCTAGACTTATGTAAAAGGTAAATCTAAATTGCTAACGTGAGATTGTACAAAAATACAGTGTGATCAAATTTAGGAAACGCGGAGACACGATGTGTTTACTCAGCGAATAAGATTTAATTATCATATGTATAAGAAGAAGAATGAAGAAAAGACAATGTGTTTTTGTTGTAAATAAGAAAAAACAAAAAAAAGATATTTATGTGTGAAATTTTTGTGAGACCTGCAGAACAGAGTTGATCATGATAACACTATA